TAGCCCAGTTTTGGCCAATGAAACGTAGGGGAGATCTGCTTAGAAGCGTCTGGGAAAACTATCTAGATTAAAGGTGATGCCACAGACGACACCACCACTTTCCCTGTCTTGCCTGCCTTTGAGTGGGATCTGTGGTGGTGGCACAGTGGGATCTGTGACAGCCATCTTGTGATCATGAAGTGATGAGCATTAGGACAAAACTGGTGCTTGTTGGCATCATCAAGCAGATGCCCCAAACCTGAAACTACCTGCCTCAGGGACTCCTGGGTAACCTGAGATTGTTGCATTGCATGTTGTTATTGCTTAAGCCAGCAGTTCTCAGCTGGGGGAGATTTTGCCCTCCAGGGGACAATGGAGGCATTTTTGGTTTTCATTACTGGGTGGGGTACTACAATCATCTAGTGAGTAGAGGGCAGGGATGAGGCTAAACATCCTACAATACACAGGACAGCCCCCCTCTCCTCTAGCAAATAGGCATTTGGTCCAAAATGTCAACAGAGCTGAGGTTGAGACACCCTGGCTTAAACCATGTGCTTCCTTTACTGAGCAGACTAATGTCCACCTTAGGACCCAGGGAAGAGGAATCTGGGGAATTATCCTGGCTGGACTCACCCATGTAATACTGTTGGGTTTGAAGCAAGCTCTGTGAGAGAGCTGCGAACCCCAGTCCCATGATGAGACCTCACTGTGCGCTCCTGTACAGCTAATGCTCACCAGTGCCCTATGCCAAGTGCTCACTGAATTGCCTCGCATTTCCTAGCAGTCCTGCAAGGTTGGTATCATTTATTCCCATTATACTGGTGTGAAAATTGAGGTTAGGAAGAACAGTGGAGCGTGCTTTGGAGACTGGCAGATTTTTACATTTATTTTTAGGAGATAAGATCTCACTATGTTGTCCAGGCTGGATTAGAATTCCTAGGCTTAAGAGATCCTCCCGCCTTAGCCTCCTGGGTAGCTGGGACTAAAGTTGCATGCCATGAGGCCTGGCTGACCGGCAGGTTTTTTCTGCTATTCACTAGTATCACTTAAGCATTTTACTTTTTTTTTTTCTGATGGAATCTCATTCTCGCCCAGGCTGGAGTGTAGTGGTGTGATCTTGGTTCACTGCAACCTCCACCTCCCAGGTTCAAGTGATTCTCCTGCCTCAGCCTCCCAAGTAGCTGGGACTGCAGGTGTGCACCATCACGCCCAGCTAATTTTCATATTTTTCATAGAGATGGGGGTTTCACCATGTTGGCCAGGCTGGTCTTGAACTCCTGACCTCAAGTGATCTCCCTGCCTTGACCTCCCAAAGTGCTTGGATTACAGGTGTGAGCCACTGCACCTGGCCTATTTTATCTTTTTGAGCCTTAATTTCCTGATCTGTGAAATAACAATATATTCTTTATGATTATTGCTGTGGGGGCAAAAATCACGTATTTAGAAGCTCCTGCTGTGGGCTTGACATCTGGTAACCATTTTGCAAATGGCCGTTGTCATTGTGATCACCAGCACGCCCCCTGGCTGCAGCTGGGGCTGCAGCGCAGCTCTGCCTAATGTCAAAGCCATAGTTTTCCCACTCCTTGGGGATGGGCACTGGAGGCTCCCGCAGACAGCTGAGGCAGAGAAGAGTCTAGGAGCCTCTGGGAGCCATGAGGCAGGGAGCCTGGAGGGGAACCGAGATTCACTGAGCACTTCTGGCCCAAGACCTTAATCAGACATTGCACACAGCAACTGTGGGGATATTCCCAGGCTGTTTTCAAGGTGGGGACTTTGATCCTGGGTCCTGACGGGGCTGAGAAGGAGTGAGGTCATCGTCTTTCAGGTCTCTCTCACTGAGGACAGGGAGGGAGACTTAGGGAAGGCCTGTGGGCTGGAGGCTGGACCTTGAACTGGCAGGCTCCCGGCAGAGGGTGTGGCCTGGGAAAGGAGTTCACCAACTTGCTCTTTGCTCTGCAGTGAACAAGAGCCGCAGAGGAAATCAAGGCCAGGTTCATTTCCAGATGTAGAGAATTCTGCCAGGATGGGGACGGATTTCTGGGAAGCGAGGCTCATTCGCAGAGAGGTTAGAGTGTGCCTGGGAAATCCTTCTTCGGTTAGTTACTCAGAACCACTGCATCCAGTGCTCCTGGATGGGCCCTGTGCTTCACCCACCCCTCTCCATTGCTACTGTCATTTTTATCCAAGATCACGTTTATCTTCCGTGCCCCACCCTGCACACCCAGGCCACACAAGCAGGTGAAAAGTCTTTTTAATAAATGTACAGACTCCCCAGGAAAAAAACAAAAAACAACAAAACCTAAATTTTGTGACTATACCACTGTTTATATATTTTCCTGTTCATGGGCATTGAAGTCGTTTCAAGTTTTTGAGGGTTTGGCTATCGCAAACAGCGCTAATACACACATTCATATAAAAGTTGTTGGAGAGGGGGCGCCGGGACGCATTTCTGTTGGGTATCTATCGGGGGTGGAATCGCTGAGTCATAGGGCAGGTATCTGTTCAGCTTTGGTAGATATTGCCAGTCATTTTTTCCAAGTAGTTGTTTCATTTTCCACTCCCACCAGCAGTGTGTGAGCGTTCTGCTTGCCCCACTCCTGATCTGACACGTGGGATTGTCTGTCTGAGAATCACAGCACAGCAGTATGGCTGAGCCCCAGACACGCAGAGAAATAAGCCGGGCGTGTAGAAAACATCTAGACCGATGATGTTCAAAAACAAGCCAAACGAATCTAATCTGGGGTCATGAGGGGAACAAGGCGGGTTCTGGGATGCAGACCCCAGAATGTTCTCTTTCTTCATTTGGGTGCTGATTACACAGGTTTATGTCCTTTGTGAAAATTCATTGAGCTGTCTGCTTATGATCTGTGCACTTTTTTTTTTTTTGAGATGGAGTCTCGCACTGTCACTCAGGCTGGAGTACAGTGGCTTGATCGTGGCTTACTGCAACCTTCACCTCTTGGGTTCAAGTGATTCTTCTGCCTCAGCCTCCCGAGTAGCTGGGACTACAGGCACCTGCCACCACACCTGGCTAATTTTTGTATTTTTTGTAGAGACAAGCTTTCATCCTATTGGCCAGCCTGGTCTCAAACTCCTGAACTGGTGATCCACCCGCCTCAGCCTCCCAAAGTGCTGGGATTACAGGCATGATCCACCGCATCCAGCTATCTGTGCACTTTTCTGTATGTTATACTGATGACCTCAAGACACATTATACTTAAATAAAAATTTCAAAAAGATTCTCTCTTAATCTTCCTCTCTCTCTCCCTCTGCTATCTTCCCTCCCAGCACATGGTTGGGAACTGTCACCTTCAGAGCCCCCTTCACAGCTGTGTGACCTGGACAGTTGCACAGGGTCTGCACTCAGAGGGACCTGTTGCTTGGTTTAATGTTCTGCTGTCTGTCTTGAAACTCTTAATACTTTTTGAACAAGGATGCTTTGTTTTCATTTTGCATGGGGGCTTGTACATAGTGTAGCAGACCTTGGCCCGAGGACAGGCAGCTGCCAGTCTGTCTCCAGATCCTGGCCCAAGGCACTGAGAGCAGGGTTAGGTTGCCTCCAGGACTCCTGATGGAGAAGGTGTGGAATGCCCCGAGCGGCCCATGGTGGCTCTCCCTCCTGTGAGAACCTAGGAGTGCATGTACCTGCAGATGGGATTTCTGGGTACATGGGAGGTACCTGCACAGTGTCCCACATGGTTCTCTGCCTCTGCCCTTCTTTTCATTGTGGTAAAATATACATGACATAAAGTTGACTGTTTTAACCTTTTTAAATGTACGGTGTGGTGGCATTAGGTACATTCTGCTTGTTGTACCACTACCTCCACCATTGAACCATCTCCACAGCTCAAGAGTCGAGGTTGTGTGTGCCTCATAAAAATCCTCCACATCTCAAAAGTTCTGGAGATGGTTTGATGGTGGAGGTAGTGGTACAACATTCCTTCCAAACAGAAACTCTGTACACATTAAACAAATGGTAATCTCCCATTCCTTTCCGCTTGCTTGTATGATTTTCTCTATGTGTTTCTCTCTTCCCAACAACTCTGTGGACTCCATGAGTGCTGGGCCAAGATATTCACCTCAGAATAAGAAAGAACACACACAATCCACACAAGACCTGGAAGAAGTGGTTGGCAAAATAGTTTCATTAAATAAATGAAAAATGTGTAATATTATTTAACTTTTGTTTGAAGACTGGGTCACTTCTTGGACTGATAAATTCTCAATTTCGTGCTGAGACAATGTCTAGCACATAGCTGGATCCAAACCCTGTTGACAGAATGAATGAAGCATTAATAACTTTGTTGCCCATAATAAAATATTGGCCTTTTTTGAGCCCTTACAAGTGCCAGACACTGTTAATATACAGAAAGAAAGATATCTAGCACTCAATACATTTCCTTCCCTCCCTTACACCTTCCTTCCTTTCTCCCTCCTTCCCTCCCTCCTTCTTTCCCTCTTTCTTTCTTTCTTTCTTTCTTTCTTTCTTTCTTTCTTTCTTTCTTTCTTTCTTCTTTCCTTTCTTTTCTTTTCTTTCTCTCTCTGTCTCTTTCTTGCTTCTTTTTTTCTCTGACACAGGGTCACACTCTGTTGCCTAGGCTGGAGTAGCATGATCAGGCTCCTCCCTTCCCACTGATCTTCAAAGATAACCGAGCGTCATAACGGCCATAAGGCTACCTGCACTTTCTTCCCCCAACCTGCGTTTCCCATTAAGTCTTGTTTTCAACTCTGCAGGTGGGGCTTTCCCCAGACAGACCTTAGGTTTGGTTTCTTATTGGGTTTTTGTGCAATAAGGAAGTCGTTAAGTGAAACTGTTTTTTCTGGGATAGCTGAGCTAAGCCTCCTATCATTGGAGGAGCAGGCAGGAGCCTGGGGATGGGTGGTAACAGGTGGAGGCAGGTGAGCCAGCCCATAGCTCTCAGGATTGGCTGCCATGAGCTCAGCTCCTGGGAGATACTATATATATATATATATATATATATATATATATATATATATATATATATCTTCTGAGACACTCAGAAAATTACCAGCATCAAGAAGTGGCATCTTCTCCCTGGGACAGCTGGGCCTGACTTTTTGTCCAGTGCAGCTTCCAGCCCACAGGGAGCAGAGACCGCTGTGTTAGGACACAGAGACCTCTTGTCTGAAGATCCCAGCCCAGGGTGTCCAAGACAGAAGTGACTTCCGTGGTCCAAGGTTAGTTGAACAATATCCTCTCCTTTGGTGCTGGAGCAGTGGTATCTTGGAGTCCTGAAAGGAGTCTAGTCCTGGGAGTCAAACCAAGAGTCCCACCCCAATTCTGCTTCCAGCGTGCTGGGCCCTCCCAGAGAGGTGAGGCGGCACGGGGGGATCGGTTTTCTTATCTCTAAAAAGATGAAGCAGGGTTCAATGATATTAGCTCAACTGGGTGTTTCTCAAAAAGCTCTGGGCTCACTTGGACTTCAAAGCTCTGTATTTAATTCCCACTCAAGTCCCACCACCCTGAGCAAGGAACTTTACTTTTTTGAGCCTCAGTTTTCTTATCTGTAGGATGGGGCAGCATTACATAGCTCACCTGCTAGTTTCCCTATAGGATATTGTAGAGGTCAAGTGAAGGTGTATACCTTCCTGCTTTATGTGAAGGTATGTACCTTCATGTTTATTGAGGAAACACCCCCCAATAAATGGGAGGTGTTATTATTACCTGTGGTTGAATTAAGCTCCTATGTTTTAAGGTTTTTGGACATTAGTCCAAGAATAGGGAGATCTTAGGAAAATAAGTCGTGGTCTACTGCTCTCTCTGATGGGAATTTAGAGGTTCGGGGTGGATTAGAACCCACAGTCCTGACGGACATCTCATGCAGTGTTGCATTGCCCTTGGTCTTGGATAGAGGTCAGGATGGGGTGGGGAGGGTGTGGTGTCTATATGGGCACATGTGATGGTGTGACTCTATGTGCACAGATCACGGTAGGCGTGTATGTGGATGTGGTTATCTCCATCAGTGGGAAATAGCAGATTTCTCCCCTCTAAGTCCGTGCGTAAGTGCATGCATGTGTATCTATGCTTATGTGAGGCTATTTGGTGTAGAATAGAGTGGATAGCGTTCAAATCGGGAGAAGTAGATTCGAATGTCAGCTCTCTGCTTTCTGGCTATGAGACTTTGGGCATGCCTCTTAATGGTTCTGGGCCTCAGTGTCCCACTGTTAGCCCATCTGATTCCTAGCCCCTGGCAAAGATGAAATGAGATCATGTAAATGAAAGCGCTCTCTGGACGCCGTGTGGCTGCATGACGGTGAGCTCGTTTGGGTTTGCATGTGCCCATGTATCATTTATTTGTTTCACGAACACCAAGAGCCTCCCAGGCTCAGGTCTCATGGAACTTAGACAGGGAGGACCAATGGCAAGTAGTGAGCTTGGTCACGTAATTATTTATATTTGGGACAAGAGAAATACAGGGCATCCTGAGTCTGTGTATGTCTGTGGTGTGCACAAGTGTGTTCTAGTGACACATGGATGTCTGCGGTGTTGACTATGGGTCCACACGTGGGTGCCACACACTCCGTCCCTAAGGGTGCTGCTGTGGGTGTGCAGCAGGCTAGCTCTCTGTGAAGTTTCTGTTGTGTGAATAACAGGGTGGAGACGGGGAGCCGCAGAGTTATCTCTGTGAAAGGCACAGAGCAGTTACAGAGTAACACGGCCAGGTGAACAAATTAGAGAACAGCATAGAGATGAGATCATCCTGTAACTTAGAAAGTACACAAAACACAGGAGCAAGCTTGGGGAGGGCAGGCAAACTTCCTGCTCCAGGGTCAGCGTGTGAACCTTCTCTGGTTCTTTGTTGCTGTTGCTGGACATGTCACTGGTGAATGTCACATCTTATCAGAAGGAGTCTTGTGATCCGCAGATCACTCGGGTATTTTGAGCTGATTTCGACTTTGCTCTGACATCACTTTCGGCCAAGACAATAACAAGTTTACGAGAGTAGCTGGGTTTCCGCACAGTGAGGGTGCGCTGCCGGCTTGGGCTTCCTGGTCTGGGAGCATGGCCTGGGCAGGGCAGGGTTCCCTGGTGGTCGGGCTGAATGTCGTTGAGCACCTGGGCACAACGACAAGAAAAAAGAAGAAAGGAAAGGAAAGTCTCGCTTTGATAACTTCTGGATAGCAGAATTTTATACTTGGAAAGTCTTGAAACGTTTAATTTTGGCACATGGAGGAAGGGGGAGGTTGTTAGGATTAAAAGACAACCTTCCTAGGGCTTAGAGACTTTAAAAGTCTGAGGACACGCCATCCACAGAGGTTCTTCAGGGGTCTTCCTGGGGATGTGTGGGTGTGTCTTCCCCAGTCAGCTGCACTCTCAATCCCTGGACCAGAGCTTTGGAACATTACAGAGGAGGAGCAGTTGGAGCAGTGGAGAGGGAGGAGAGAGCCGGCTGAGCAGTCACAGCCACCCAGAGAGGAAGGAGGAAAGAAGGAAGTAGGGCTGGTGTCAAATGCTGCAGCACGTTAGGGACGCATGGGAAGAGGCCACTGGATTTGGAATTAGGAAGCCTTGGGAGACCCTGGAATCTTCTCACTGGGGAAACTCTTGGATAGCGGAGGCTGCACGACACCCAGCCCCCTTCCTGCCTCTGGGCTGCAGCAGCAGCTGCTGGGCTCCTGGGCTTAGTTTCTCTCATCTCCCCAAGGGCTCAGAGCACTGGTTATTCCAGGGAGGGGGTGGCCAAATCAAGGCAGCTTTCTTAAAAAAAAAAAAAAAACAGGGAAAGCATTTGCTGGTGGGATTGTGTTAAGGTACTGGAGTAGCTGAGCTAAGTGAGGAGCAATGTGTCCTTGGAATGCGGTAGGAGGATACTGCCACCATCGGCAATGGTGAAAACCGTTTCCATAGCAATGACAGCTTTTTAAGATGACTGTGTCTCTCTTCCCATTAACTGGGTAAGGAAGTGCCGGCCCTCTGTGCAATGGGTCCCATGGAGCCAAGTCTGTGCAGACAGAAGAGGGTCTGAGCTGAGCGAGAGTGTCCTGGTTCTGTGGTTTTGTTAATGAACAGCTTCTCTGCCAATCCCATCCAATGTGCCCTGACCACAGGAACATATGGAAAATGCAGAGAGAACCCTGACACCGTTCAGTAAATATTTCTGGCTCAGCTCAGTTTTTTTTTAACGTGATCTTAAATCACACAGAACTTCAACCTAAATTTATCTTCTCTGAAGACCGTGTGCTTCTGAAGAGAGCAGATGCAGGGGAATGAACACTGCTGTCACCACTGTGTACTCACATCCTTACTCCTGCGCATTCAGAGAAGACCAGAATACTCCCTCTGGGGGCACATGCTGCATCTCGTTCACGATTGTATCCCTAGCACCGAGCATAATTTCTGGTGCAGAGTGGGTGCTTATTAAATGTTTGTTGAGTGAAATAAGTGAGAACAAACATAAATATTTTCCGCTATGATTGCTTCTCCTAATCCTACCCCACATTGTCTTCAGAAACACAACCATAAGGCAACCAGTCTCTGAGTCTTTCAGGAACATTAGTGAATTTCCATGTAAGGTACAGACATGTATTGCTAAAAGTTTCTGTGTAGCCCAGGTGCTCCTTTTAAGGAACGTTAAACAACGAAGAAGGCCCTCCGAACTGCCTGCCTCCTCCCCGGCCTGATTTCTCCTTTCCTCCAAGGTCATCCACGTGTGGACGCCTGGCCCCAATAGCCTCTGACCTCGGCGACCTGGGGCTGCAATAGCTTCTGGCTTCCTTTCCACACTGGTGCTTGAAGGAGGGAAGGCATCCCAAATGTCTTCACGTCACCTTCAAATCTGTGTGTTTCCATTTCTTTTCTTCTTTCTCTGTATCTTCTTCACTTTCCTGTGGATCCCACACATAAGAAATTGCAATTATAGATTCTTATTTTTGCCTCTAAGCTGAGCATAGCGATAGAATACATTTTAGAGTGCGTCCCATACCACTACATTACTTGGTGAGTGCAGGCTAAAGCTGTAATGACGAATTAGAGCAGGCAACCTGTGGTCCTAAACTGCATAGGACTCTCCAGGGGCTCGGGTTTGGAATTCAAAACTATATTTTACTTTCTTTTACCTTCCACTGAAGGGAAGAGGGCTTCTGAACAACTCTAGAAAGATTGGAAAGCCCCAAGAGTTTTAGATTAAAGACACACAAATCAAGTGCACTGCCCACACCCTAGGCCTGCTTGAAATGCCGCCCAGGAGGGGAAGGTTTTTGTTTGTTTTTTAAAATCTTTTTCCATTGGCTGCTGCTTCATTCTGGATGGAGAATGGAAGGGCCCCTGCTGCTCCAAGATGAGACTGGCCCGAAAGCACTGATTTCCTGCCAACCATACATCCAAAGACACCTTAAGTGTTGTGCCATTTACTAACTGTGTTATGCATCTGTTCCTTTGCTTCATAAGTGCTTATCGAGTGGCAGGGATATGCTGGACATTGTTCTAGACACTCAAAGATAGAAGACCTAGCAAAATAGACACAGGAGATGGAGAGAGACTCAGACAGTAAACCACTAAACCCACAAAGACCCGGCATTGCACACCACCGGGCCGTGGGGTAGGAGGGGAAAGGGTGTGCCAATGAGGAGTGGGCGGGGGCCTCGATGGAAAGGTGACCATGGACTAGAGCCCTGAAGGCAGTGAGGGAGCAAACCATGAACAAACTCATTCTTTCCATGAGGGAGGAACGTTCTAGAAAGAGGGACTGGCCAGTGTGAAGGCCCGGAGGCAGGCGGGCCTTAAGGACATCAAGCAGGGCTGTGCATGTGAGTGTGTGAGACATGGTCAGAGGGGTGTTGGAGGCTGGAATGTGTGGGGTGTGCCAGCCACTGTGAAGACTTTGAGTGAAAGGGGACCCTTGGAGGAAGGGAAATAACTTTTGTTTCTGTTTTTTGAGACAGAGTCTCGCTCTATCACCAGGTGGCCAGGCTGGATTGCAGTGGTGCAATCTTGGCTCACTGCAACCTCTCCCTCCTGGGTTCAAGCAATTCTCCTGCCTCAGACTCTGGAGTAGCTGGGAGTACAGGCCCCCCAGCTAAGTACAAAATCACTCCCGGCTAAGTTTCGTATTTTTAGCAGAGGCTGGGTTTTCATTATGTTAGCCAGGATGGTCTCTTGACCTTGTGATCCACCTGCCTCAAACTCTCAAAGTGCTGGGATTACGGGCATGAGCCACCGCACCCAGCCGTAACTTTCATTTTATAAGTCCCACAGCTACTAAGTGGAGAAGTTTCTGTAAGGAGGGCAAGAGGAGAGCAGAGACATCAGTTAGGAGGTGATGGTAACAGTTGGGGAGAGTGCAGGTGAGGACCTAGAAACCACAGGGGGCGGTCAGGGTGAGGAGAGGCTCTACAAGGCCAAAAGGCTCTGCCGATGGGTGGGCGTGGGAGTAGAAGAAAGAAAGGAGGCTGGCGCAGTGGCTTATGCCTGTAATCCCAGCACTTTGAGAGACCAAGGTGGGTTGATCGCTTGAGCCCAGGAGTTTGAGACTAGCCTGGGCAACACAGCAAGACCCCATATCTATTTTCAATATATATATATATATATATATATATATTTTTTTTTTTTTTTTTTTTTAAAGAAAGAAGTCAGGAGTGACTACAGATTTGGCTTGAGCAGTTAGAAGAAAAGAGTTGCCACTGACAGAGCTGCCTGGTGGAATATTCATGGCAGCCTGTGAGGTAGGGCAGGGCTCAGGGATGTTTCAGAGGAGAACATGGGGCCAAAGAAGGTGCCTGAGCTGCCCAAAGTCCCAAGGCTAGTGAGGGGCAGGACTAGACCTCTGGCTCCGGCTGTATTCATTTTCCGTTGGTGCTGTAACAGAAGCCCCCAGATGCAGTGGCTTTGGAACAAGATGAATTAACTATCATGCAGTTCTGGAGGAGAAGTCCCAAGTCAGTCTTGATGGACTAAAACCTACGTATGGGCAGGGCTGTGTTCCTTTCAGGGGCTCTGGAGGTGCAGCTGACCAGCCCTGAGATCTAAGCAGGATCTCCCTGTGTCCACTTTCATTCTCTGGAAAATGAGAACAATGACCCCCATTCCCCAAGGGTTTTGGGGGAATTTGCACAAGACAACAGCTTTGAGAAATTGTTGACACAAGGAGTTGACACTACTCACATTAGTGAGCAGAGTGAATGAGCCTCTGGGCAGCTGGGAGCCAGCTTCGGTGTACCCAGGAGGCCTCTGCTGAGGGACTGTTTGACCGGGTGCGGTGGCCCACACCTGTAATCCCAGCACTTTGGGAGGCTGAAGTGGGTGGATCACCTGAGGTCAAAAGTTCGAGACCAGCCTGGCCAACATGATGAAACCTCGTCTCTACTAAAAATACAAAAATTAGCCGGGCGTGGTGGTGTGTACCTGTCATCCAGCTACTCAAGAGGCTGAGGCAGGAGCATCGCTTGAACCCAGGAGGTGGAGGTTGCAGTGAACTGGGGTAGCACCACTGCACCCCAGCCTGGGAGAAAGAATGAGGCTCCATCTTAAAACAATAACAAAAACAAACAAAACTAAGGGAGCTGTTTGTTTTGGTTGTAGCCTGATGGAGAATCCAAGGCGCCCGAGGAGGCCCCTGACGGAGAGGAAAGCCAGGTCTCTGGACAGGCCGTCGGCCCCCAGGAAAGACTCAGAGTCGTGGGACTGCCACTGCCTCTCCCTGCCCACTGCCCCCACCAGGAAGGCGCTTCACTGGACAACCAGTGATTGGGCCAGACGTTCAGAGAGCCCAGCTCCATCTGCAGAGGCTCGGGGCACCACTGCTGCAGCCCTCACTCCGGAGGAGACCAGAGAGTTTCTCCCCAGTGAGCAGAGGCCTCCGCAAGACACCAAGAGGGACAAGGCCCAGAGGTGTGCCCAGCAGGGGTGGCTGAAGACCATGCTGAACTTCTTCTTACTGAGGACGGGCCATGAGGAGCCCAGAGAAAAGGCCAGCAGGAGGCCAAGGGGGAAGGAGGACCTCTCCCAGCCTCCAGAGCCCCCAGAGGCACCAGGGGAGCCAGCCCTCAGGAAGAGAGCCCACCACGACAAGAAGGCCAGCCGCAAGAAGCAAGGTCACAAGAAACACGTGGCCGAGGTGAATAAGGCAGCTCAAGACCAGGAGGCCAGAGGCCAGGAGGAAGGGCTGTCCAGGACAGTTGCTGCCTTGCACTCTGGGGAGGCTGACCTGGGCCCAGCTCACAGGGGTGAGTGGACCTTGCCTGTACCTATGGCAACCCCTAGGGTGTGCTAATCTTGCTCCAGGAGCCTCTTCACAGAGGGGACAGGGATAGTCTGGGGAGCTGTCAGGGGCTGTACCACTATGACTTACTTACTTCCTTCCTTCTTTCCTTCCTTCTTTCTTCCTTCCTTCCTTCCTTCCTTCCTTCCTTCCTTCCTTCCTTCCTTCCCTCCCTCCCTCCTTCCTCTCTTTCTCCCCTTCTCTCTTTCTCTCTTTTTTTCTTTTCTTTTCTTTTTTGACATGGAGTCTTGCTCTGTCGCCCAGGCTGGAACGCAGTGGCTTTATCTTGGCTCTCTGCAACCTCCGCCTCCAGGGTCAAGCGATTCTCCTGTCTTAGCTTCCCAAGTAGCTGGGACTACAGGCATCTGCCACAACGCCTGGTTAATCTTTGTATTTTTTGGTAGAGACAGGGTTTCACCATGTTGACCAGGCTGGTCTTGAACTCCTGGACTCAAGTGATCCACTCGCCATGGCCCCCCAAAGTGCTGGGATTACAGATATAAGCCACTGTGTCTGGCCCACTGTGACAATTCTTTAAGGTGGAACGGCACCATGGCTGCGTGCTCCAGGAGAACCGCTTGTGGTGCTGCTGTTCCCAAGCTGTGTGGCCAGGGGCGGCAGCTTTCCTCTCTGAGCCTCAACTTTTTTCATGGACAAAATGAAGATAAATAGTTACTGTCTCATGGAGTGGCCACAGCCCACAGGGAAAGAGCTCAGTGCACGGTAGCTGTTATTGCCAAGTACTATAGTTTCAGGAGCACAGACCTAGGAGAAATGAGAAGGCAGGGACTGGGGTGAGGAGCGAAGTCCTACTCCCACCCCACTGGTTCCTATATGCTTCTGGACTGCTGCTTCCAGGCCTTGGTTCTAGATTGGCTCTATCAGGAGTAAACTTGTTGTGTGATCTTGAGCTTGAGCTGCCACCTCTGGAACTTTTGATTTCCCACGTTAGAGACAGAATCATTTCTTGTTCCTAGGTACCGCAAGCATTCAGACAAAAAGTTTTCTCAACAAGGCAATTTTACTTTCTGCAGAAAGGGTACTGTTCATCAGCCATCTTGCCATGAGAGTACAATGAACAAAGGAAAGGCAGGCATATTTATTCCTTACACATTAGGTCCTTACTGCTGTGTCTGATCTCCATTGGTTGGAGATGGACCTCACAATCTAAACTAAACCCAATTGGCTAACAACTTAAAACTTTTCTAAATAGGTAAAGGCAATGGAGAACAAAGGAAAAGAGGAGGTTGCTTGTGAAAGGACATAGAAAAGTAATAACATTCCTAAATAAGGAAGGGGCAGAAGCTGCAAGCTGGGACATGCCTGTGAGCACATCCAGCACAAATATCTTGGTTAAAGTACAAGGACATGGAATGCACTTATTTCCTTATATCTAACAGCTTCCTAGGATAGGGCTTAACAAAGAGTTAGTAGCAAAAAGCAAGAAGGCTTTGAAGAAAGTTAGACTTTAAAAGAAACTATTATTTCTAACATTTATTATTCTTCTTCTTTAACAAGAAGGGAAATTTTGAAGAGGAAATTTTTACTTTCTACGCATGTAAATCAGGGTGCTGGCTCCCAAGGTGACTTCCAATTCTGCCTTGCAAGGTTCTGGAGCTGAATGCCCATAGACACCGAAAGGGAGAGGGGGCTCTGCCTTGTAGCACTCAAAACTCAGTGTCTATGATGGGGAGAAGATTGAGGATTTGTGGGGAGGGGCTAGTGAGAGAGGTACCTTGGTGGAAGCAGCCTCTTTTCAAATGAAAATCTTAATGAGTTTCTGATTTTTTTTGGTTAAGCCTAGAGCGGGCTGCAGCAGTGCCTGTTGAACTGTGAATTCTGTGCTGTTTTCTCGTGTTGATGAACAAAGTCAGGAGAATGTCACTGACACACGCACATGCACACGCACATACCCATTTGCTTTCGTCTCTATTCCAGGTGGGGAAGACTCTGATCGTCAGTCCTTCCTCATCAGAGCAGATGGTGCTGGAGCTTTGGATGTTTCTCCCCACGCCACAGGTCACCAGCAAGAAGAGGAGCTCAGAAAGCCTGATGGTGAGTCGGAATCCCTAGTGACCTTTTTACCTGTGGCTGAGGTGGCTGTTACTGAGTGAGATGGATTATTCTGAATGATCACTGAGACCTTGGATGGTGGCTCTCAAAATATACGCACTGGTCTTTCTTGCCTCTTTTGGTGCTTCTGGCCACATCTGCTTATTTTAGAATTTCACAGAAGGGAGCCTGGGGAATCGGAAAGGCTGCTGGCAAATGCTGCTGCCTTCTGTGTTAATAGGATTGGAACTTTTCTTAGTCTTTTAAAATTTATTTTACTTTAAAAATATATAGAAGAGTGAAAATGATAATTCAATGCACACTTGTATGCTCACAGTTGTTAAATTCTGCCAGTTTGCTTCGTGTGTATATCATTTTGTTGCTGAATCACTTTGGAGTAAATCATGCTTCATCTCTAAATACTTAAACATGCATCCCCAAAAAAGAAGTACAGTCTCACACTAAACCACAATACCGTCAGTGCTCCTAAGAAATCGAGAATAATACCCTATTTATCTGATTCTCTGTAAAAAAAGATGAGCCTATTTTATAATATGTGAAATAAAGGAGCTATGCATGTGTCAAAGAATAACTCAAAGGCATTTAGTTAGTTATTCTGCAGCTAATCATTTTCTTACATGAGCGATAACCAGCTGGTAGCTGAGTCAGGCAACAAAAGCCAATTTATAAGTGAGAGAGGGAAGTTAGGAGTTAAAAAAAAAAAAGCAAACCCACAGACATCCTGGGGACAGGGAATTTGTTTGCATCTCTTTCCATGTGAACTCATTAGCTGGCACCTAGCAGAGGACAGTGCAGGGACATTGTCCTTGAATAGGCTGACTGGGGTATCAAAGAAAACCATTTCCACTGGAGTGGCTTCTCTGTGCAGATGTGAGGGCTTGGCTGAGGCATCAGCATGGCAGGCTCTCTCTGTGTCATGCCTGCTGACATCCTTCCATCCTCCACCTTAGTTAGGCCGGGTATCCACCATTTTCCCCACTGAAATTTTACAGGTTGGAAGATCAGCATTAGCCTTGCAAAGCGTTTTCAAGCCCAGTCCCTCATTTGATGGCCTGACAGCCTTCTGAGGGAGGCAGGACAAAGACTATGACCCACATTTCTCTGGGAGAGATGAAGGCCCAGAGAGGTTAGGACACTTATTCAAGGTCACACAGCTTACTGAACCCAAAGTAGATCTGTGAAGTTCAAAGGAAATAGGGGGGCACAAGTTGAATGCCTAAAGGGCTGACCTGAAATTTCCTGCATGAAGTGTCATGATTTGGCTTAGTGCCTTCCCTGGTGGATCTTCCAACCTTCTCTCAGAAGGACCTCCCCTGGGATGTGGTGATTCCCTCCGTTGTGTGGCCTAAGGAGTCGTTTAAGAGAACTGTTCGAGATGGTCATTTTGAAGGAGTTGTCTGTGCATTTAGAAAGAATAACCGGGTGCGTTTGCTTTCTTCCAGAGGATGCTATCATTCAGATGATAGTGGAATTTCTCAAAAGAGTGGGAGACCAGTGGGAAGAAGAGGTGAGGAGAGAACTTGGCAGATCTCCAGGGGCTCTCAGCCTTCTCCTCCTCCTCTGCCAAACTCCACCTGTCCTTGCAGGCCTGGCTCTAGTCCCTTCCTTCCCTGAAGCCTCCTGCAGCTTCAGAACTCAGCCCTCCCTGTGCTCTGGGCTCTGCTGCCTCCCCTCACCTGGGGCCATCCTGTCGCTCAGGTGCTCTTCAGTTGCTTTCAGAGAGCTTTCCCCTTCTCCTCAATGTATGAGCCTCACTCAGTTTCTCTCCCGTCCCTCACAGCAATCTCAGGCCTCACAGCCGAAGGCGGTCCTGCCAAACCCAACAGCAGCTGTTAGGAAGAAATCCCAAGAGAAAAAGACAAGCCCCAAGATAAACTTTTCTCTTAAGAAACATGGCTCTGAGGAGGCCAAGAGGGGGGCTGCAGATGTTTCCAGTCCAGAGGCCCGGCCACACAAGAAGTCCAGCTTTCGGCCCCTGTGTGTCGGCGGCCATCGGCCTTCCATCTCCAGCAGCTATGGTGAGCAGGCTCTGCAGTTGCCATAGCAACCCTGCAGCTGCCTCCAGCTCTGCAGCCTTCCCCTGGGATGGAATTGGCCACTTTTAAGGCTGTGCTGAGCCTAATATGACTTTTGCAGTCTGCACTGAGTGGCCTGAGGATGACTGTGGGAAGAGAGAGAGAAAGCCAGCAGGTCACCTCCACGCTCAAAACCTCAGCCAGGTCTAGGCCACCCCAATAAGCCCTTGATGGAAATCGTGTTCCAGGATTCCCTGGCCATCCACCTTTCTTGGCTGCCTTGGCTTCTGCCCCCTGGCAGGGAGGGGAGTCATGTGTGTAGGAAGGAGCTGGAGTAGGGGAGGCAGGGGACCTGGGTTCTAGCATATTGTCTATGTCATTCCCCATCTTTATGCCTCTGTTTCTTCACCTGTAAAGTGAGACGTTTCCCTGCTGCATATCTGTAACTCAGCCAGTCCTCACAGCCACCAGGTGAAATGCAACTATGATCCCAACCTCGCAGGTGAAGGGACTGAGGCTTTGGGAGGTGAAACAATGTGTTCAAGGTGGCATGGCCCATGGATGATGGGGCAGAGCTAGAAGGAGAAAGGATCAGACATGTAATTTCTTCCTGGGCATGAGGGAGAACAGGTCATCCTGGTCAGGAGAATTTACATCTTAGAAAGGAGGGAGTGATGCTTAACACCAAAGAGGGGTATTTCATGCCACTTGGGGAGATACTTTCATGCAGGGGGATTCTGGCTGTGATTCATCAATTCATGCCATGGGACCAGGCCTCTACCATTCAACTCATGGATCAAGTTAAAATGGTGGAGGGAGGAGGGCTCCAAGGGAGGGAGGAGAGGGCAGCAAAACCCAGAAAAGCCAGTTCTATGGAAGCACAAAGGGATAAAAGAGCTTGGTATAGGCCAGTAAATCAGAGACACAGTCCTACCCAGCAGCTGTGTGCCAGCCCCATAAAGCCTTAGTGTGATCTGGCCACGGAACCCACTTTAGAGTCTGTGCTAGCTTCTATGCATGGTTAACAGGCCCAGATGGACAAAACACACCCCCTTTTTTCATTCTGCTTCTCAGGCTTGGAAGAACCTGAAGTCCAGGAGATCCTATCTGCAGAGGCTGGGGCTCCAGGTCCCTGCAAGCTTTCCACCCCACCAGAGAGCCTGGGACCTGGAGAGGAGCTTCAGCCAGACAGAGCCTCAGAATACAGTCAGTACTCCTCTCCTTTTCTCAGACATCCCTTGGAAAACTTCTGCTCTGACTCCTCCACTTGCAGAAGAGAAACTGAGCCAGAGAGAGGCAGTGGCCTGTGCAGACCTCCCTCTGAGTATAGCAGGCTGGGGAGGCAGCTTGGGTCCCAGAGTCTAGGCTCAAGGCAGGCTGCCTGTCTATACCTCAATAAATGGCAATAGTGTTGGTGCTCACTCTGATGAGGCCGACAGAAGGTAAGGGGAGGAAAATACTCCCCCTACCTCACCAAGGGCTTGCCATTGGGGTGATCTTATGGGCCTGGGTTTGAATCTGGGCTCTGACCCCTTTGAGCCATGTGCACTTGGGCAAGTTACTTCATCTCTGGTCTCAGATTCTTCATCTGTGAAATGGGACAGCAATGTACCTGCTTTCTAGAACTGTCGGCAGCTCTAAATGAACTCCCGCCTCTACAGCATTTAGGGCAGCCCCTGGTAGTGGCTAAGATATGTTAGCTGCCATCTGCTGCTCTTATTGTCGTTGTTGAGTGGCCCAGCTTGAGAACAGAGCTCAGAAGTAAAGAGGAGAGGGAGAGGGGTAGGGGCCATAGCAGGGAAGCTCAGCTAATGGCAGCTGCCATCACTGTAATTACTATTTTATCATTGGCAGAGCCAGGCCTACAATCATGCATATATGATCACCATCATGTCTGAAAAGACCTGGAAAGATCTACGCCTCCTACACCTGCCATTCTGCCTTGTTTGCTTTTCTTTTTTTTTTTTTTTTTTTTTTTTTTTTGAGATAGTGTCTCGCTCTGACACCCAGGCTGGAGTGCAGTGGCACCATCTCAGCTCACTGCAGCCTCCACCTCCTGGTTCAAGTGATTCTTCCACCTCAGCCTCCTGACTACAAGTGTGCACCACCACACCCGGCTAACTTTTGTATTTTTTTTTTTTTTTTAGTAGAGACAGGGTTTCACCACGTTGGTCAGGATGGTCTCAATATCTTGACCTCGTGATCTGCCTGCCTCAACCTCCCAAAGTGCTGGGATTACAGGCATGAGCCACCATGCCCGGCCCTTGTTTGCTTTTCATAGAAAATGTGCCTTAAAGGGGAATTCTGCCTGAACAGGGGGAAGGTGCAAGGTGAGGGCACTTGTAGGGAACAGGCCTTTCCAGATGGCCCTGAGGGGACTCCTCCCGGGTTTCAATTTGGAGGCCCTCTTTGGGAAAGTGAACATGTGTCCCATGAAACCAGCTCTGCCCTCAGGCCACCTCTGGCAGCTCTTTAGCCCCCTGGAGAATCACCCAGGGAGCCAGCTGGGCATAAGGAAATGACGACTGACCTTAGAAGAGCTTTTCTAGCACTGAAGTGTAACCATGCATGCTGATCTTTTTCAGGAGAATTCATTCAGAAGATCATTTCCATGCTCCAAGATGCAGAAGAACAGCGAGGAGAGGAGGTGAGGAAGATGCTCCCCACATAGCCCTGACCTCACTGTGGGCTCCCCAACCCTGCCTGGGAAACAACTTCCTGCCCCTCCTGCACTTCTGTGTCCTGCCAAAGCCCTGCTCCAGTCCCTCCTGGTTTTTTTGGAGATGGAGTCTCACTCTGTTGCCCAGGCTAAAGCACAGTGGCTCGATCATGGCTCACTGCAACCTCTACCTCCTGGGCTCCAGCGATTCTCCAGCCTCAGCCTCCCAAGTAGCTGGGACTACAGGTGTGTGCCACCACACCTGGCTAATTTTTGCATTTTTAGTAGAGACAGGGTTTCACCAGCTTGGTCAGGCTGGACTGGAACTCCTGACTGCTGGTGGTCCACCCACCTCGGCCTCTCAAAGTGCCGGGATCATAGGCATGAGCCACTGCACTCAGCCCCAGTCTCTCCGTCTTGAAGCTTCTCCAGCCCCCTCCAGACCACACACATTTCCCCCTCACTGAGCATCAGCCACCTTTCTCTGGGCAATACCTGCTAGCCCACCATGAGTTTCTTTCCCCAGCTCACCTGAGATCTCCTCAAGGTCAGGGGCCCTGACTCAGTTTCTCTCATCTCCCCCACAGCAACCTCAAGTCCAGGAGGAAGAGGTGTGTATAGGAAACCTGGCTCCACTCAGCAGAAGGAAATCTCAAGAAAAAAAGTTGAGCTTCAGGAGAGCATTTTACCATAAGAAACACAGCTCCAAAGAACCCAAGAGAGCGGGGGCAGCAGGGGCCACCAGCCCAGAGACCCGACGGCCCAAGAGGCCCAGCTTTCTGCCCCTGTGTGTCGGTGGGCATCGGCCCTCCACCTCCAGCAGCCTTGGTGAGCAGGCCTGGTGTTGCCATGGTAACAGAGCCTTCCTCTCAGACAGGGCTGCTGTGGGGCCTATCCGTTGCCGACAGTCTGGCTTAGTGGGGGATGTCCAGCCCTAACTGTTGCTTTCCATGCTGAGCAGAGTCGGGGGTGTGGAAGTGTGGGGAGAGGTGAGGGGCCAGGTGCCAGCAGGCCCCCACCCCTAGCAGCCCCTGCTCACAGCGCACGCCCTCCCCACACCCCGCCACACACAAACACTTAACAACAGCCGTGGTGGGAGAGCCGTGCAGCTGTGCATCAGAATCGCCTGGCCAGTTCATAGAAAAGCACAGAGACCTGGGTTTGATGAAGTAGGGTATGGCCCGGGCCTTTTTTTTTACTACACCAAAGCGCGAGGCCACTGGTGTACCGTGATTCCCCTGACATCACAGAGCACCTGCTGCATGCTACTTTCACACGTATCATCTCATTTAACCTGCTCGAAACCCTGTGAGGTCAGTCTTATCACTCCCACTTAACAGCTGGAGAAAGAGAGGCTCAGACAGGCTGAGTGACCCAGAAAGCCTGGCAGAGTGAAAGGGTTTGTTTGGTGGACCTGTCGGCACACCTGTTTTAACTGCACCCCTCCCAGACTGTGAGGAGGAGGAAATGGTTGGTGGGGGAAGGAGGAATTAGGTTTCTGGAGAAGGCCAAGAGAGCACCACGAACTCCTCTGAGGCAGAGCCGGGGGCGGGAAACTCACGGAGGAGCCTGGAAACCAGCCCCGGCTTATGCCTGTGCCTCTGAACAGCTTCTTGTCAGGAACTGGATTAGCTCTCTGTGAAACACTCACCAACTCTTTTTTTGCCCTAGATCCAGAAGATCTCGAGTGCCAGGAGCCCTCACCTGCAGAAGGCGAGCCTGTTGTGGTCCCAGAAGCACCCTTCCAGGCCAGAGGCCACACATCAGAAGGGGCATCTCAGCTGAGTGGAGTGTGTGAATCTAGTCAGTATCACCCCTGCTCTTACCCGGACAGCTTCCCAGCGCTTCTCCTCCATGTGGAGTTCACAGGCAGTATTGGGGAGGGTTCTGAGAAAGGAATGGGAAAGGCAGCAGGCAAAGACCCCAGGAGACTTTAGGATGGGGTAGGGGGCACAGACTTGGCCTTTTAACTGGGGCGGTTGGGGCAGTTGCAGGTAGAGGACACCTGTCTGTTCCGTGGGATGTAATTAACACCCGCCGTTAGTTTGCTTGAATGTTTCTTGTGAAATTCCTAGCTTGCTCCAGGTCTCATAAGCAGTGGTGTGCTGGCAGACCACTGGGAGAGGTGATGCCCTGTTTTGTAGCCTTTGAAGATTTCCATGGCATAAATATTTTTTACCTCCGCTGATTTCAAGCTGCCAACAGTTTATAACAACTAGTCCACAAATTAATTAGCTGGGCACGGTGGTGGGAACCTGTAATCCCAGCTACTTGGGAGGCTGAGGCAGGAGAATCACTTGAACCCGGGAGGTGGAGGTTGCAGTGAGCAGAGATTGCGCCCACTGCACTCCAGCCTGGATGACAAAGTGAGACTCTGTCTAAAACAAAACAAAATGAGTCTACAAATTTCCTGAATAGTTACAGTGAACTTAGTATGAGCAGGCCCTGGCGTACCGCTGCTTAGAACCCAGGTGAATGGGTGCATTCCCAATGGGTCTGTAGCCCTGGCATGTCTCCTCCCTGTATTCTGATGCGCTGCCTCTAGTCCAAACTCCCATTCTCGACTGGGCTACTCTGTAGCCTGGTTAAGGGACACTGGGAGGCCTTAGTTTCCCACCTATCAAATAGAGCCAAATGTGGTTACAGGTGAGGTCCAGCAAGCCAGAGTCCCTTCTATTTCTATAAAGGGAACCCAAGCAAAGCTCTCACGCTCCAGCTCTAGTTTAAGGCAAGAATTTTCTTGATCCATCATAACTAATGTGTGTGCGGAGTTTTAGAGAGAATACTGTCTTTCACAGGTGGATGTGTTGTTGCAGCGCTTTGTTTTTGGAAGGGAACTGGGCATCACCCAGTCAGTAACTCAATCCTTTCTTTTCCTTAGAGGAGCTCATCATCCTGAAGCTGGTGGCGCTTCTCCAAGAAGTGGATGGTCAACTGGGGCAGCAGGTGAGCACCACTCAGCCTTCCCCAGGCCAGCCCCAGGGCCTCATCTACCCACAGCTGAGACCTGGGTTCCATCCCTAAGTCTGCACCTCTGGGCAATTTTGAGAATACCCCTTAACCTCTCTGAGCCTCAGTTTCAAAATGAGAGATAATTACCTACTCGACCAAGCTTAGTGCATATGTAGAAAATGCCAGACATGCAGCAGATGAGGGAACTGTTTAAAAGAAGCCAATGCTCACATGGCCCCCCTGCCAGCCAGGACCACTCCTATCCAAATCAGCTATTGAAGTTTGGCTCATGTTCCCCATCCCTGGAAGCCTCTTCTGCCCACACCTGGACTCACCTGTCTGGCTGATTCCATTCCCTGTGGTCTCTGGGTTCACTCTTGGCCTTGCTGTACACATCAGCGTTCATATGGTCTCCTATTCTTTCAGGCTTGTTGACTTTCCTCCCCTGCTAGGCAGCCTGTAACAGAAGGTTCCCCACCCTTGGAAAACATAGTCTATTTGGAGAGACAAGAACAGATCACATGTGAAGAGGTCAGGTTAAAGATGAGTAATCAGCATAGCTGACGCTCCAGGTACCTCTCTTCACCACCAGAGTGTACACTGACTCCTCCAGCTGCCAGCCCTTGCCTCCTTTTGCCTGAGGAACCAGGGCCATTTTGTAACCCATGTTGGGGGCAGAATCAACAGCCTCTACTTCCCCATGAGCAGCCCTCAACCAATGGCTGGTGGGAGTTGGTGGATAAACCCCAGCTCCCTCGCCTTTATGGGGCGTAGCTGAGGAGTGTGCTCTCCGCTCGCTCCCAAGGTGCCCTGAGCAGATTAAGCTCCAGTTGCCACCCCCTGGGCCGCCTTCCCATTCTTGTTCCAGGTCTCATTCCCCCATCAGCATTTCCCTGGGTCATTTAATCAATAAAATGCCTGTACTCAAGTCCTTGTGTCTGGGTCTGCCTCTGGGGAACCCAATTAGTTATTAAGAGACAGGAGTTGGTTGGAGGAACTAAGATTCATCCAACATCTACTCTGCACTAAACATTTTATATAAACTCTTTCATTTAATTCCCCCCCCCCAACAATCCTGGGGCTGGGTGGATATTTTACATTTGCAGATGACCAGAGGCTCACACACCTAGTAAGTGCAACTTAAGCATCCCAATTCTAGACTGTCATGCATTGAAATGATAAAGTAAGAATAATCTGTGAGATAAGTAGTGGCTAGGGTAGACGAGAAGGCTCTGTGGACTGTCTGCTTCTGAATTATCTGAGTCTAAAGACCTGTACTTTCACCCTCACCCTCTACTCTGTCCTGCTGCTTTGAGCTGGACCTTGCAGAACAGATTCTGAGAGGCTGGGGCAATGGAGGGATGTAACAAGGGAGCTCATCCCAGGGATGAGGGGCGTCCCGCCTGGCTGTGTGGAGTTGCGGGGTGGGGTGGGGGGAAGTTGGCGGGAGGGGTGCTGCCAGTAACACTAATGACCTGCTTTCATTTCCGCTTCCAGATCAGGCGCCACCCCAGCTTTAAGAGGTATTTTTATAAGTTCTCGGACTCCTCCCTCAGCAAGCTGCTAGCCACCCTACGCAGCCAGGTGCCCCACTCCTCTCAGTGGGACAGGAACCTCGCCAGGAGACTCTACCAGTTTGACGTTCGCTTGGCTGACAAATTTGCTGGCAACAACAGCCACGCCATCTGCATCCTCATGGGCCTAAGAGACCACTACAATTGCACCCACTTCCCAGACAGGGAGGACCAGCCGGTGAGCAAGGGCAGGGACGACAATGGCGATGTGGCATGAGTGACAACAGGCTCACAGCTGGCCTCCAGTGGCATCTACTTATTCTCCTCTCCCCTCCCCTGCTCAGTTCAGAATTTTTGGGTCTATCTCAAATGCCACCTCCTCACTGAGGCCTCTGAGACAATTCTAAACCATGAAGACCTTCTTCTTTTCTGAAACCTCACTGATTTTACTCCATAGTTAGCATCTTCTTTATTTGGCTCTAGTCTTCAATTACATGTACCTTTCCATGCTTTTTGATAGAATGGCATATTGGACTGGCTACGATCTTAGCTTGCCTTATTTATTATTTTGTGGGCTCTGTTGCTTGGCTTCTCAATTCTAAGCTGTCATAAAATGTAAACAACAAAGTAAGGTTATCTGTCAAATAAGGGGTGACTGAGGTAGATGAGAAGGTTTCAGGAGGCTGTTGGTTCTGAAAGGCTTCCAGGAGGCGACCACTCAGGGACCTGGCCTTGAACAGCCTCTCTCCTGCCCTCACCTTCACTGTTTTGAATGCATTCACGCTTTTCCTAATAATTTCCTTTCCCCTACATCTCTGAGATATTCCCTTCAGAGATGATAATTGTCACCGGTTTTTTGTTTGTTTTTGAGCCAGGGTCTTGCTCTGTCACCCAGGCTGGAGTGCACTGGTGCAATCATGGTTCACTGCAGACTCAACCTCCCTGGGCTCAGGTGATCCTCCCACCTCAGCCTCTCAAGTAGCTGGGACTACAGGTGCATGCCACCATGACTAGCTAATTAAAAACTTTTTTTGTGTGTGTAGAGATGGATTCTCCCTATGTTGTCCAGGCTGGTTTTGAACTCCTGGCCTCAAGCAATCTTCTCATCTTGGTCTCCCAAAGTGCTGGAATTACAGGCATGAGCCACCACACCTGGCCTGATTTTTTTTTTTTTTTCTTTGAGATGGAGTTTTGCTCTTGTTGCTCAGTCTGGGGTGCAATGGCATGATCTCGGCTCATTGCAACCTCTGCCTGCCGGGTTCAAGTGATTTTCCTGCCTCAGCCTCCTGAGCAGCTGGGATTACAGGCATGTCCCACCACATCCAGCTAATTTTGGGGGGCATTTTTAGTAGAGACTGGATTTCTCCATGTTGGTCAGGCTGGTGTCGACCTCCTAACCTCAGGTGATCTGCCCATCTCAGCCTCCCAAAGTTCTGGGACTACAGGCACTCCACCATGCCCAGCCACCTGGCCTGATTTTTTAAAAATTATGAGCTCACATATTTTCTGGTGGACGCTGATAAAGATTTCTTCATCCTTTTCTAATTCACTTAACATAACTTGCTTACAAACATTTGACCCAGACCCACAGGGTAGAAGCCACTGCATGAAGGTGTGACTTTAGAGGAATGAAATGTTCTGTTTGCTGGACCAGAACTTCTACATCCAAGCGGTCCCCTGGGAAACCAGACCCTTTTGCAGTGATGCTGCTATCAACCAAAACACTTCCATCTTTCTTGGAGTTGCCTTTAGAAGCCACTTGGAAAGTCTCTCAAGAAAGCTGTCTTATTTCATGATAGTTGTATCTTGTCATTCGAATGCTCTGCTCTACTTTGGCTCATTTTCCTGGTGGGAAATCCTCCCTACCTTAGACTTCTCTCTTCTTGGCCTCACTGGCTTCTCCTAGAGAACAGGGATGTTACAGATAATTTGGCCTCTAGGGTGGGTTAGGTAATAGCTTACAGAGTGATCTGAGTTCTTCATGAAAGACATTATAGAAACATGGGTCTGACCTCCTCAGTTGCCCTGACTCCATCTTCTGGTTTTACTAACCATTTATTCATTCATTCAACTGGTAGCTATTGACAGCCTCTTCCGTGCTTGATTGTACAAAGTGCCATGAGGCTCTGTAGAAGGCTCTGCCTTCAAAGGCTTCATCTGCTAATGGAAAAGACAACTGTTTGATGACAAAATTAAATAGCAACCGAATGCCAAATGAGTGGTAGCTGAGGCCCATGAAGCAAGTTGGTCCTGCAACCCTTCCAGGAGGTGGAGGTGCTGATTTTGACCCTTGAGAACGGGAGGCTGCCTGGGGAGAAAAGATCAGGAGAACAATGGCCCCAGGTGTTACAAGAACAAAGACCCAGAGATGGAGGCTGGGGTGGGGTGTTGATGGGACGATGGGATGTCTGTTGTTTCCAGAGTGGAACCCATAAACAGGTGGGCCATGGCTAACACCTAGGTTCTTTTTCTCTTCCCAGAACGTCGCAAGTCCTGAGATTCTAAGTCCAGATTGAAAGCTGTGTCTTGCACTCAAATTCCCTTGAACTAGCCAAACGGTTCACAGCTTTAGCCAGGAGACCCTGAAGACGCTCTGTGACATCCCAATCCTTGCTTTACAAACATGACGGAAGACAAGAGCAGACAACCATTCTGTGTCCATACCCTAGTATCTGAGAAGCACAAGGACTCTTCCACAAGGCAAGACACAGATGCCATGTCTGGGGAAATCAGCACTGGCCTGGGAGTGAAGAGACCAGGGCTGCACCTGCTGAACCTACTCCAGACCTGCTCTGTGACCCTCTACACGTCCCTGCTTCTCTCCAGACTTTGAAGTCTAGGATCTCACCCAGAAGGCCTACTGACATTTTCTCAGATGTTAGTTTTAACTGAGTCTAGTTTTTAAACTGTTTATTTAATCTCTAACCAGAACATCCACATGTATCCAAACAGATGTGCATCTTAATGTATTCTATCATTTCTTCAGTTGACCAGTAGTTCTTCATGCTCACGTGGCTTTGTAGATGCCTCCCAGTAACTCTGCAGGCCCCAGATGGAAAGACCTGGACACTGAGGAGGCTTGGTCTCTCAGAATCCTTCTAACCCTCTGTTAATGGAGCTGATACCTTGCACCTCTCCCATCTCATGGGTTTGGCTGAGTCAGTGAGAAAATGGATGTGAAGTTCTGCAAATTATGTAGTGCCAGGGCCATGTATGTACTACAGCTTCTTCTGGGTAGTTTTCAGGAAGTGGAGGAGGGCTTCAGTGGGCTGGACCGCCGTGGATTGTTGCACAGGGGCGCACTGCTCAAGAGCACCATACTCTGGGAAGTGCTATTCACATCCCAGACATTGTGGATTTGTAGATTTATGATGACAGTTTTCCAGCTGGTGGCAGTACAATGTCTTGAGAAAAGGGATGTGTTTTTGTATTTGCACAAAGGGGAGGTGTGGGGTGCCAGAGGCTCTGCCTTCTGTATAGCTTAACAGTTTCAACAGCTTGATTTGGGTGTGAAATTTGCCACATGTTCCTATCTATGTGCAACATGGACAAAATTGCAGACGGACATCTGGCTCCCGTGGACACTGCCCAGAACATGTGGTCATGGGGGAGAGCGTATTAAACCTGGATAGCAAGTGTGATCTTGTGACGACTGGGGACATGGTATTGCCGTGTTGAACCTGCTGTAGCATCATTGGGTAGGACTAGGGAGGAGGAGCAGCCTAGGGCGGAGAGGCCCTGGGCACTTACATGGGGGGCCTCCAACCAGAGGCACCAGCTTAGTAAGCTCAACTCAGCCTATCTGGAAAGCCTTTTAGTTTTTATTGCTGCTTCTGAGATGTGGGGGAGAGGTGAGCTATTTGTGGATTTGTTTAGGCAGTGCTCATGATCTTAGCACCCAAATGTGAAGGATCAGAATAAGTTATGAAACGAAGGTCAGGAACTTTTTGTACACAGTTTCTTATTTGGAACATGTTCTTTAAGCTCTATGAATATTTGGTATGTGCTCCTGATGCTGGCATCTGAGTCTCATTTTTGTACTGTGTTATTTGAGCAAATAAATTAACCTGCACAAAGGTGTTATCTGGGTTATTCACCAATGAGGCAAGACAGATACCCACCTGCCACATCTATGACAGTCTGGTCCTGCAAGGCTGTGGGGGTTGGCCTCCTTGTCACTTCCTGGATCCCTCCAGGTGTCCCACCCTTGGAGTGCCAGCTTGTGGATGCAGTAAAACAGTGTCCTGGGTTAGGTGTCAGGAGACCTGGGTTTTAATTCAGCTGCCCCAAGGCTGGGTGACCCTGGGGACAAGATACTTTCCCTCCAGACCTGACATCCTACAACTCAGTGACTCTCAGTGTGACAGTTCATTGTATGTCTAGGAAAATAGAGAGCAGTACTGATTCCACCTTGCCTTTTACTAGTCCCCAAAATCTGGTGCTTAAATTCTGTCACACAGAGCCAAGATAAAAAATCTTTAGAATACAGTGCTAGATTTCTCGTCCATAAAACGTGGTCTCCAAAGGAGACACTGATGACGTCCTTTCTCCTCTCTCAGGTGACACATGAGTGTCTGTTCCTCAACCCCTGAAGTCTCAACTTAATGCTCCAAGGAGAGCAGGAGGAGGCATCATTATTATCCTCCTCTAACAGATGAGGAAACAGAGGCTCTCAGTGGGGAAGTGACTTGTTTATGGTCACACAGCCAGAAACAGACAGGACCCAGCCAGGACCAGGCTCTGAGAACTCTATTTTAGCGTCCTTGCCTCCAGTTATGATCTAATCCATTAGTTCATTTATTCAACCAATGTTTATTGAGCACTTCCTATGTTCCAGCTCTGATGATAACTGTGTGGTATAAACAAATGCAAAAGACACAACCCCTGCCCTCAGGATGCTCACGGACCCCACTGGTTATGGAGCTTTTGAGCCAATATGAACACAGAGCACCATGTTAGGATGCTGTGGATGAGTGGGGGCCCTCAACTCCCACCATAAATGTTTTTGGGTTTTTTCCCCCCAAGTGTTGGCAAGTATGTAGAGCAACACGATGGTTTTTACAAGAGCACTGAGGTGCATGGGAGTTCTTGCTGCTTTGCATGGCTGTAAAAAGGTAGGCAAGTGACATCATGACATAATTAACCTAATTCCCTCCCTCTGAGAAGTCAGACGCCTAAGTGGATGAGTCAAAGATAATGGGGTCAGCTGAGAACTGGTTGAGCTGGAGGTGTTGGCTGGGTTACAGTGGGGGTTGTGCTGTGGGTATCAGTCAGAGGTGCTTGTCTGGAAGAAAAGAGAGCGTCCTGGCATTGCCCTGGGCACAACTGAGGCCTCCCAGTTTCAAAGAAAACAGTGGCTGCAATGTAACAAATAATCTGTTCCTGTTGCTTAGCAAAAAAAAAAAGAGAAAAAGGAGAAAGAAGCTAATTCAGGTTGCCAGATCTAACACATGAAAATACAGGAGACCCAGTTAAACTTGAATTGCATTTAAATTATAAAGAATTGCAATATTGAGAACACATTTCCACTAAATAATTATTCATTGTTTATCTGAAATTCAAATTTAACAAAATGACCTCTGTTTTATCTGGCAACTCTGAAACTAATGTAAGAACAATTATTTTAATTACCTTCAAACAAGAAAAATAAGTAGCTCAAGAGAAGGGAAATACGCATTTCAAGAGAAGTGGATGCATTAATACTTTAATATAACTGACATGAAGAGACTCTGGGCTCTAAATACAGACTTTGAGTTAAAACAATAATGATTATGAAGTTCACATTTTCCTTGGGTCCCAGGGAATAAGCATTCCTGGGCTGTGCAGGAAAGGACACCCGCTCTCTGTGGTTCCCAGGCGTCAGGCTTCTGCAAACATGGAGGCCACTCCTGGAAGAAAGGCCTGTGGCCGGGCGGGCCTCTCCGGTCAGTCTCCCCTCGGCACATACCTGCAGCTGCTTCCTTTGACTGGTCTGGCCACAGATCAACCAGGGTAGTCAGAGGATGCAAGACCCCTGGGACTTTGACCCTTCTCAGGCCTCACAAAGCTACATTTTGTTCCCTGAAATGGCCCTGTTAAGTGGGATCCCTTGCAGCCTCTGTGCCCTAACTGCCTAAATCCCCAACCCCACGAGGCTTAAATTTGCATATGGCCTCCTCAGGCTCCTAAGACTCAGTTAGCATTGTCCTCCACGCATTCACTCTGGGTTTTGCATTTCAGGATTTGGTAAGCAAATGCACCTGAGGCCTGTGGGCAGCTGGGGCTTCCTTGCTGGTCCTGGCCGGGACTGGAGGTTGTCTGCTCTCTGCGGAGCAGCAGGGGGGCTAATTATTTTCTGGACAGGTTGGAAAAAATTGAGGCTGAAGTTGTCTTCCCCATGGAACATTTTCACTGAGGTGTAAACAGCAGAGTCAACCTTCATTTGTGTTGGCTGTCGGGGAGGGACGTTTGGCCTCCCTCTTCCTCTGCAGGCACCCAGGACTCCAGGGCTGCCTGTCCCAACACCGCAGCACCATGTAATCCCGGAGGAGCTCTAAAGACCTTGATGCCTGGGCTGCCGGACCAACTTCAGCAGTGATTCCAGTGACCAGCTGAGGTCAAGCCATTAGTACACTGTGAGAATTAAAAACCAAACAGAACTTGGGCCCCTGCCACTGCGGGAGCGAGGGAGTGTGTCGTGGGCTCAGTCCTGCTGGGCCCCCAAGAGCTGTGCCCTTGGACAGGATCCTGGGGAGACTAGAAACGTAATGGCCCATCTCAAAGAAGTAAGCTCAGGCCTAGGTTGGGAGGAAGGTCCAGGAGCACTGGTCAGTGCTGGCATCCATCAGTCTGTCCAGAGGAGGGAAGTGGAAGGGTGGAAGGATCGCAGGGAGGCAGAGATGCTCACCCTGGAAGGGAAACAGATCCTGGGCAACATCAGGACTGTTTAGCTACACCAGGTGTAGCCTCTGGTCCTCTGGTCAGGGAGTGTGCCCGACAGCAGTGGGGAGCAGACTTGGCCTCAGGGTCCTCAGGTTCTCTCCCGGGCTGTCTCCAGTTCTCTCTCTCGGCTCACAGCTTCCTAGGAAAGGGACAGATTTGTCATTTCTGAGTTCCCCATCTAGGACTTCGCTAACCTTAATTCCACCGAGGATCTCCCTTACAGGTTCGTACGCCTTGGGCAGCCCTGAACAAGTAGCCAGGCCTTTTACAGCCAATGCACCGAAACTGGAGATCTCAAGTTACACCAAAAGCCAGTGAGGGGGTTCATTTTATTACACGAGGGTCCTTTGCTGCTGGCAAATGTAATCTCAAGTGGGAGGTGATAAAAGGGTGTTTGAAACATCATCCCATTTGTGAAAGTTCAACTGATACTTGGTTTTTTAGGAAGGGGATAGGGCTGGAGTGGTCTAGTGCAGATTTTACATTACATAAGGGTATAGTGCCATATAAAGGGGGTAGGCAATTCATAGACTTGTGCATGTCTTTGTATGTTCTTTGTAGTTTTCTAGCAGTTGGCAGTCAAGTGTCTTGTTCTAACAAAATCAGTATATTACGACAATTTTCCAGCAGCTGGTAGTCAGGTTCTCCAGGAAGGGGTGCTATTTTCTTAGTACACAAGGTGCTGCCTGGCTAGTGTCGACCTTTACTGTGACCCGGAAGGGAAAGGTAGGAGAAGAGAAGCAGCTGGATCAATGAGACCCAGGGGTCACCACAGCATCTCAGAACAGGACAGGCAGTGTCTGCCTTCCAAGGTCATTCTAAGGAATTCCGTACCTCAGGGCAGCTGCATTCCTGGATCCGGCTGGGATGAGGTCTGTAGGTGACCCAAACTGTCTCAGAAGTGGAGAGCAGAGGGAAGTTGAATGGGCAGGGAGCAGAGCTGGATGGGAGAAGCCGAGGAAGCACAGGTGAAAAGAAGGGAGACAACGGGGGAATCAGAAGACCTCAATTCCAAGCCCTGCCTCCACCTGCTGTGTGATTTTGGGCAAGTTACTTGCCCTCTCTAAGAAATTGGAGGAAGACACTTGTGGAGACCAGAGAAGTGCTGGGATGTGGACTTGTACATTTTTGGATACTTTTCAAATCTCCATAATTTTCAAATCTATCATTCTGTTGCCTAGACCCTGCAATGACTCCCCAGCACCACACAGGAAGTCCAACCTCATTGGCTGGTCGTCCAAGCCAGCCTTCTGCCACATCACCAAGTTCACTTCCAGGCCTCTCCTCTACTTCCCTTGCAACCACAGTTAACTGCTTGCATAGACGATTTCCTTGTTCTGGGCCATCCCATGTTCCTGGAATACTCTCCCATACCCCACTTCTCAGTCTAACTTCTGCTCATCTTCCTCACTTCCACCAGGGAGCCTTCCTTGAGATCCCAACGCTAACAGAATGAATTAGCTGCCTCTCCTCTGTGCTTCTATTCTATAGTAATCCAGTGGTTCTCAAACTCCAGCGTGCATCAGTCGTCCAGTGGATTACATAAGATACACACTGCCAGGCCCCAGCCCCGTTTCTGATTCAGTTGGTGCAGGGTGGGCCCAAGAATCTGCATTCCTAACAAGCTCTTGAGAGGAACCATGCATTCAGATACGCTCTTTCTGCTCCTTTCTTTTGGTGCCCAGTCTTACACACTGCTCCAGGACCCTCCCAAATGTCCCACACAGGCCTGGGCACTAGTCATAAGGTCCTGACATGTCTTTGTTACCTAGAATTCCACAGGATGCTTCCACATTCAGCTTCTCATTTAAGTCTCAAATAACCACGGGTTGAAGGCAGAGTTGATGTTATAGAGAGAAACTGAAACTCCCACTAAGTAAAGTGACTTGCCAGAATGGAGAAACCAGTGTTAACCCCTGTGACTTCTGACTCCCACTCCAGTGCTCCCACCACCCTCGTAGGCCATATCACTAAGTTGGAACCTCAAGATACTGGTGACAGAAAACCTGGATTGGAATCCTGGCTCTGCCACCTGTTAACACAACTGTGTAACTTTGGGCATGTTACTAACCTCTTAGTGCTGTGGGGCTGGGCACAGAAGTACTATGTAAGTTGGAGCTATTATTATTACATTCATACTGTAATGGGGGAAATT